ATTGACGCAACATTTTGCCATTTTAATTGGTAGGGCTTCTGAAGGAATAAAGACTTTCTTCCTTCTGCCATAACTGCCTGGAGGTTCTCCTGACCTTTTTGTCCCCTCCCATTTTTCCAGGTGATTAAATTGTGCAGTCAGAAAGCATGACTATAATGCCAAGAAGCCAGCAATTTTAACACCACAAAAGGATAATTACGTAATACTTCAGGCCATATTAGTTCCAGCACGGACTGACCCTCAGCCGGGGATGACAGAGCGCCAACAGCTCCCAGCTCAATGACTGACAGAACTGGGACATGGCAAATTGCACTTTCGAAGCCCGCAGCAGAACAAGAGTGAGGGGACAGGCTTTGCATTAAAAAGCAGTCATGTACTATATTCTTAGAACAAGGGATAAAATAGGACAGCCCATGACAACTTCCCTTCTAAACCAATTCATTTGAAACATTTTCCACCCTCCTCTCATTCTTCTCCTTTGCTAGTCTGTAACAGACAGCTGGCTGTACTACTAGTGTAACGTAAATTATATTCTTACACTATACTACTGATTTGTACTAAATTAAAGAGGTTTTGCTACCTGTGAATATCGCATTAATTGAAAGAACAGCTTAGGGTGTGACATCTATTGACGGGTGAGTAAAAAGACTGCTTTTCCTCGCTCAACTCAATGCTGCAATTGAGCCTCAGCGTGTGCTTTTTTTGTATTGGAGGCCTCTGTAAAGACTAAGGTTCAATTGAAGCACCCAAGTGTACAAAATCATAGAATCATAGAATGGTTTAGGTTGGAAGGGACCTTAAAGATCATCTAGTTCCAACTCCCCTGCCATGGGCAGGGACACCTCCCACTAGACCTGGTTGCTCAAAGCCCCATCCAGCCTGGCCAGGAACACTTCCAGTTGGTGGGGCATCCACAGCTTCCCAGGGCAGCCTGTTCCAGTGCCTCACCACCCTTAGAGTGAAAAATTTCTTCCTAATATCTAATCTAAATCTACCATCTTCCAGTTTGAAGCCATTACCCCTCGTCCTGTTGCTACATGTCTTTGTAAAAAGGCCCTCCCCAGCTTTCTTGTAGGCCCCCTTTAAGTACTGGAAGGATGCAATAAGATGTCCCCGGAGCCGGAGCCTTCTATTCTCCAGGCTGAACAATCCCAGCTCTCTCAGCCTGTCCTCACAGGAGAGGTGCTCCAGACTCTGATCATTTTTGTGGCCCTCCTCTGGACTCATTCCAACAAGTTCAAGGCTTTCCTATGTTGGGGGGTCCAGAGCTGGGTGCAGTACTCCAGATGGAGTCTCATGAGAGCAGAGGGGCAGAATCACCTCCCTCCACCTGCTGGCCACACCACTTCTGATGCAGCCCAGGATACAACTGGCTTTCTTGGCTACGATTGCACATTGATGGCTAATGTTGAGCTTCTCATCAATCAGCACACCCAGGTCCTTCTCCTCAGGGCTGCTCTCAACCCATTCTCTGCCCAGCCTGTATTTGTGCTTGGGATTGCCCTGACCCAGATGTAGGACCTTGCACTTGGCCTTGCACTTCATGACGTTGGCACGGGCCCACCTCTCCAGCCTGTCCAGGTCTCGCTGGACAGCATCCTTCCCCTCTGGCATGTCTGCTTTGCCACACAGCTTGGTATCATTGGCAAACTTGCTAAGGGTGCACTCGATCCCACTGTCCATGTCACCAACAAAGATGTTGAACAGCACTGGTCCCAGTATCAGCCCCTGAGAAACACCACTCATAACTGGTCTCCACTTAAACATTGAGCCGTTAACCACAACTCTTTGAGTGCAACTGTACAGCCAGTTCTTTATCCACCAAGTGGTCCATCTGTTGAATCCATGTTTCTCCAATTTAGAGACCAGGATATCGTATGGGACAGTGTCAAATGCTTTGTGCACATCCAGGTAGATGACAGGTGGATTGCCTTGTCCACTACCACTGTAACCCCTTTGTAGAAGGCCACCAAATTTGTCAGGCATGACTTGCCCTTGGTGAAGCCATGTTGGCTGCTACCAATCACCTCCTCTTTTTCCATGTGCCTTAGCAGAGTTTCCAGGAGGATCTGCTCCATGATCTTCCCATGCACAGAGGTGAGACTGACTCGCCCGTAGTTCCCTAGGTCTTGCTTTTTTTCCTTTTTGAAAATAGGGGTTGTTTCCCATTTTTCAGTCAGCAGGAACCTCAACAGACTGCCACGACTTCTCAGATATGATGGATAGTGGCTTAGCAACTTTGCTTTTGATTTTGACCCCTCTACCAAATCTTTGCTCACATTTCCACTAACTGGTGGTTTGTAACATTCCCAGCCTGTATTTGCCTGGTGCTGTCCCAGTGTGAGCAACTGGGACACCACAGCTAGAATCCTGAACAGGAAAGGACCTAGGGTTAGCCAGAAGTAAACATATAGCATTAGTGAAATTTAGGTTGTCCCATAGGTTTTTTACCTGCACAGAGAGGGACCTGGGTTCCATTTCTCAGCTTCAGGATATTTCTGTATTTTTGCCAGTTACTGTTTAGCTTTAAAAGACGACTAAGAAAAAAGAGTTGCTCCTGTTCCTACAGGTCCCAGGAATGTTGCACTCTCTTCTCTGTTATCCACTGAAGTGAATAGGAATTTTCCTCCTCTAGTCTCGAGTGAGCCCTCAAGAGAGGTGTGAAATACTTGACATTTCCTATTGCCACTCAACTTCCACCAAGCACTGTAGGTGTCACAGCAACACGTGGAATAGAGGGCCTGGGTCTTCACTCTAGGAAATGAGGATTTGATAACCAAATTCCCTTCTTCTGTTATTACTATAATGTATTCGAGTTCTGGAGTTCATTTCCTAAAAATAACTAAATCACTCTTTCCAAACATTACATCCACACACAAGCTGACTCACAGCATGAAGTTTCACTGAAGCCATGGCATGGCCACAGCAAATTCAATGCAAAAGTAATAATCTCAATTTACACAGAGACCACCCTCAGTTGAAAAAAAAACAAACAAACAAACAAAAAAAACCCCACACACCAAAACCTACACAATAAAAATAGGAAAGAAAATTTGTAGGATTATCTAACAATCAGCCTAAAAGCACAGGCAGTCTGGAGAAAAGGATATTAATGTCTTTAATTCTTGAATGGTTCTAGAAAATTCTATAGCAGGGATGGAATTTACTATTCACTTACACTGGGTGATTTCAAATATATAAAGGTAATTACAAAACCTCTATTAGGTTTTGCTTATAGTGTGGTAAAAAGACACTATGATTTAACCGAGACTAGAGTTTCAGACATGCTTTTACATATTTTTAGTGCTGCTGCCTGCGGATCCATTCTGCATAGATCAGGTTATTTACAGATTAAGTGCCTGGAAACAAGAGAGATTGCAATATGAAATACATTCAAAAACCTGGAATAATTTTATAACTTTTGCTAAGAGAATTAGTAACACACAGCAAAATTGGCCCAACATCTATGGATCTGCTTGTAATTACTACTTTCTACTACAGCAACTTTCAATCTACTACCATTTGGGTTTCCATTGATCCACGACAACAGAAATGTCACTCTGGCTCAATACTGTTAAATGCCAGTGTCAGAACAGGAAACACAAGCTTTGAAGTGACCAATGAAATGGAGCAATTATGTAGTTGAATATTTGCTTCGTGCAGTTTGAGAGAATTGTTAGAAATTCCTCTAAGCACTACAAAATGGGAAGAGCTGTGCATAAGATCTAAGGTAATTTAAACCTGCTTTGCAATAATTATGTTATGCAGTTGACCAAGTTTTGATATAATCAATAGTATAGAGGTCCCAAAGCAAAAATTTAAATAGTCACTACATAAAATATCACTTTAAAATACAAGTTACACACTGTAAGAATCCTAGTATATCCATAATCATATATCACTAAAGCATAAGTTGATGAAATTCTGTCACACATTTCTTGCCTCTCCCTTCCATCACAGTGCTAAGCCTCTGTTAGCTGTGCCTGCACTAATGGAACCGGGAGACTGAGTGTAGGAGGAGCAATCAAAATTGGAGTGTCAATAAAAGCACCAGATGCCACTGATGCCCCTTCCACACTTCAGTCCTCAGGCACCGCAGCAGAACCAGGAACTCTCCTGAATCCATGGTTTCCTAGTAAAGACCAATTTGAAGAGGCACAGCCACTTCCCTAAGTGATAAAAATAAAATGCTGATACATTCTATTGTCAAATAAGTCTGTAAGATCAGAATTACATAGTGTTAACATTAAAGCCATTTTATTCTAGTTACATAGTCCTTTGGACAGATCACATTCAATTGTTCATTTAGCCTAGCACAGATCTCAATTAATCCACAGAGTAAGTTCCTTTCCAACAATAGTTTTAATGCAGTGTTAATAAAGGCTCCTAATTTAAATTTCTGCTCCTCCATTTAAAAAGTGGTTTTTAAGTATCATCAAAAGACAGCACTTCGGTAACAGCTCACTGTAAAGACTTCCACTGAAAGGAAAACATGAAGGTAAAAAAAAAACAAACCAAAAACAACCAAAACAACTCCCTACCCCCATACACACAGAAAGGATACAAAAACATGACAAATAAAGGTTTGTAATAGATTTTACTTGTAGAAAAGCAACATTCTACCATCATTTCACAATTAAAAGGTAAGATTTGTTTGGTGTTATACAGACATTGTGTATCAACTCACAGCCTAACAGGTAAAGCATACCGTAATACTCAGTATGAAAGGTATGAGATACGCTGTTTTATTTAGCCAATTACTCCTGGTGCCTCTTTGTGGATACTTTCTTAATTACAGGTCCTCTCTGCTTCACACGTCAGCAGTATATTTGGGAATATAAAAACTCGAAGTGTTAAAATACATTGAAATGTGCCAGGAAAAATCAAACCCAGGACCAATTTCTCACTACACAGTAATACCTCTACCAGATCACTGAAACAAATGACATCGTGTATATAAAGTATTCGTCCCATCATTCTACTCCCCCCTTCATATAAAAAAGGAAAAAAATTTGTCTTGGTATAGAAAATTGTTCCATCTTCTTGCTTCTACATTCACACAACTTCATTATCAGGTTTCCTTATCCAGATATTAAACTGTAAAATGAACAGTTACTTATCGTGGGGCTTTTCCACCATCTTCAGTGCTAATCTTCCAACCATTAGCAAACTGTATACAGGGAAAAACATAGAATTAAACAACAATAAGAATAATTCGTAAATTCATTTAACTGGTGCATAGAAGCAGAAAAAAGATACACAAAATATGATTCACTCCATCTCAATTTAATTAAGCAAACAAGAAATCAAACATAGGAGGTTAAAAAAAGAAGTATATTGTGTTGTACCTGACACCAGCAATTAGCCCTGCTGGCATGAATTTTCCAGAGTTGTAAAATCTTGTTCCCATGACAGCAGTCAGTGTTCCAGATGTAACTTAAATGAGAGATTATACAGTCCGGTCAGCAGAGATTCATGTGTGAGAGATGCTACAATTCAAAACTAACAGAAAAGAGAGAAATAGTAGTAAAAAGTAAAAGTAAAGTAAAAAGTGAAACAGGGTTATTTTATGTGATGTACCAGGAGAGTCAACAAATTGTGTAAACTTAGGAATGCCTCAGTACGTGAAAAGTGAATATTCTAAATCAAGTTCTAGCAGACAGTGCAGTCCATACACTTCTGCACACATTGTCCTCAAATTTCTTTGTCAAAACGTCTCTACAGACTGGAAATAACCTGCTTGGGAATTCACTCCTTCCCTGTGCATAGGCAAATCACTAAACCCTTGCACCTAATTCCCCCGCTTCTTGTATGAGGGAGAGAGCATTTTCGTGTCTGACTTGTAGTAACATTCTGAGAATTAACTAGTCTATGGTTGGAAAAGACTTTGAAAGGGAAGTGTGCTATGTAAGTGCTAAACATTACCAATCCATTTCAGCCTTGCACCACCTTCACTTAAGATCACAGAGTTAAATCGATCTACCCTGACCACTTGACATAGAGACAGGAGCCAGGTAGTTTCACTGAGCCAGGAATATAGAAAGGGCAATCCCTGGAACACTGTATCTCATACTGATTAAATCCTTAGCCTTAGCATGCATCTGCTGCCCAGTGGTAACAGTTACACATTAGTATGTCCCAACCACACTTATTTTCTACAATTGCTTCTATGTGATGGCTGATGCTGCAGGACCCAGCTCATCTTCAGCCCTAGCCACGGCATCCTTCCTCCCTAACGCCACCCTAAATATCGTCCTTGACATATAACAGTCTCATATAAGTAGATATATAAAAGGCTGGGACCACAGTTTAATACACAAGGAGGAAATAAAATACTTTAGTATTCAGATACCTCAAGGTCTAATCAGCAGCTAGTCTTCAAAATATGCACACCTCACTAAATATAATTTCGTCTAAGACAGCAGTAGAATACACCTTCCTCAAAAACTTTAAAGCATGAAAAGGAGGAGGAAAAGATCCCACACACTACTGAAGTATAGAAATGTATGCCTTTTGCATTTGGGAAAATCCTTTGTCTCAATCCTGTTAAGCTTTCTTTATTTGTAGTTTATTCCAGTTAGTTAGGCTTGACCATGCACAGCTTTTGACCTATCCAGTAGATATGAAAGTGGACTCCACTGTAGACAATGCTGAAGTGGAGAGAAACCCTGGGCCTTCCCCTTTCACTTCTGTCTTTCACATATCAAAGAGCTAGATCCTATGTCACTGCTTCAGTGAACAAATGCTGTAATCAGTGGCAGCTCTTATAAGCACTGACTAAGCAGTGACTCTTCACAGTCAGCTTCTCAAAGTTAGGGAGAAGGGAAGCCTCAGTTCTGAGAAGAAGAAGATACCGCATTACTGAAGCTTGCTTCTCTGTTAAATCTCCCCAGGTGTGCAACACCTTTGTAGTTCTACGTATTTGTCATATATAAAAATAAGCCAATCACAAGCTCTGCCATTACTCAGCAGTAATAAAATAACCTGCTCGGAGTTTGGGCAGTCTGCAGGGGAATCACTCTTCCTGAAATGCTCCAGCTTCCTTTAAGATGCTGAACGTAGGATCCAGCCAAAAAGAGGACACACAGAGGTCAGACATCAATTTACTAGCAGTTCCCTTGCACTATGATCCTTCAAACACACAAGTATGAGACAGGTGCATGGTGGCAGCCACTAATTCAGCCAAGCCTGGGGTGTGAAACATAGCTAGTGTTATAGAACTGTCATGCAGTGATGCCTTCTACAGATCAAGAGAGGAGAGGATACTACTAACAGATACTGGGCAAAGGATTACACAAAACACATGCTCACAAGTATCTGAGATACAGCAGCCTAACAAGTATTAAGCATCAGCTGAGCTGCAGGATTATCTACATTTATTTTCTCAGACAGCTTCAACTGCAAGGTATCCTAACTTAGTGGTGAATGAGAAAAGTTCAAGTCATGTTATTTTGCAACTGGCATGAGCTTCAGGCCTGCACAGGTTAAAGTGATAGGTGATAACTGTCCTAACTCGATCACAACCCTGAGCTCTATATAGTAAACGGCAGAAAGACAAAAATTGCATTTTGGAGATTCACACCATGATACATAAAATTTTTTGAACACAAAATGCCGATTTGATTTTTTTGCTGAAGGATGTAAATTAATGGTATTTGGCTTTTCTTTTTTTTTTAATCACATAAGTTTCACTTTTCCAAGCACACATTTTCCTTCACAACCTCTAGGTTTTTTTGATGTTCAGAAGACAAACTTTAACAATGAATACCAGGTATTTTCCTCTCATGTTGTAGAAGAGGAACAAAAAAGTAAGTTTGAACTATCACCCAAAGCACTTTATACTTCTTGCAAAAGGAATGCAGGAATGTAGTGAGAAATCACTGAGTAAGACACATCAAGACAAGCATTCTTTAATATACATTCTCAATACATTCCTTAAAAAAAAAATTAAATAATGCTAAAAATTCACATTCCAGGGAGACCACTGGAGTTTGGTCACTAACAGAGATTGTCACTAAAGCACAAGTGTAAAGACTGGATTAAAAATAGATTTATAACACCATCAGTTTAACTCAAAGACTTTCAGGTACTCCTTTTAAATACCCAGTTATTTCAGGGTAAATATAATCCCTTCTAATGAAAATTGTAAGTTACTTACTCAGAGAAATCCAAACATTATTTGGATTCTGCGAGAGCTGATACGCCCCCAGTCCAGCCAAACTCCCAAAGAAAAGGCCAGCAGCTAGCGATGGAACGCTACCTGCATAAGTAAAAGATAATACATTTATTAGAAGCTCATAAATAAACTTGCTCATTAGCTTATTTTTGGTGTTTTCCAAATCAGACAACAAAAAAAGGACATTCATTGTTATAAAGCAGATTAGAGAGGTTTTTTTTTCTTTTAAGATATTAGAACCGTGCTGATCTGAACCAAGAGATGTGTCTAAATACTCTTGCACAAGATACCAAGTAGTATTTAATTCTTTAACATGAACATATTTATGATGAAAAGAATAGTGAGAAAAACAAAAGACTTGCTGTTTTCTGTGCAGACCAAAGCATGTTGTTTCAACACAGTGATTTCAGAATTTCTTGAGAGGCAGTAGTCTTAAGATTGGAATGAAAAAGGACACGTAAACTAAACTGGGCAGAAGAGCATTCAGGCAAATAGGAAGTTGCCAAAGAAGAGAGAGGAGTCAAATAAGAGAGGTCATATCTCTTAAGTACACCTGAGATCTGATCCAAAGTTAACTGCAGACTTGGGAAGAAGGTTCCCTGGACTTGCCTAGAGGCTGGATCAAGTCCTCAGTATAAATGATAATCCCGAGCTACCGGAAGACAAAGGATACCACATTCAAATTGGTGATTTATAGATGACATCAAGTAATGATATGGCACGACCACTGCAAGTGGTGAATGCCCTCAATAAGGCTAATGGAGAATTCAGGATTTAATGCTACTGCGGGTGGTTCTTTATATACCCCATTTTTTAGGTTACCTTTAAAAGGACTCGAGATTGCAATGCTAAACTGATAAAGATCTCCTAATGTTACAGGAGGATAGCATATTGCTACCAGAAAGTAATCATTTTTCAGTCATCCACAAGGCAGCTGCAACATCCTTCTTCCAGCTTCACATCCTGCTTCTGGTATAAAAAGCAAGAGCTAAAGACAATAGAAAGCACCAGACATTCTTGCCCATGTGCAAGGAAAAGATATACACTCTAGTGTGGATGCTCTGGACAGAATACAGTTTAGCAATCACCATGTGGTAGCTACAATTCTTTGCAAAAGCCTGAGAGCCGAGAAATGGCCATCGTACCCTTGAATTTTACCTCAAGGCATTGTTTAAGCAGCTGTGGCACATACACTTACTAAAAAAACTACAACACCTCTGGCTCAGGAAGTTCTTAAGTCTCAAAACATGAGGACCCAGAGAACTTACTAAAGGAAGAGAGAAAATAAATAAATAAATACCTGGTTGTAAAAGCCACCTTACCTTTATGGGTAAGAGTTCCACTTCCTTTTGGTTTCTCCAAGTTATCAGTAGGGATATGATAGCTGTTGGTTGTTTGGGTGGGTTTTTTTTAATTTCCCTTAAGTCACCATAGAAGTTCCTGTTCCCCCTTCAAAAATTGCCTTGCCTCAGCATGATCATGTCCTCCCATCCGGGAATGGAGAATAAGAAAGATATCTACTATTTCATAATAGTGTGGCGGTATGCTCCCCTCCCCCTTTTTCTTTCCTGGCTCCTGCTACAGCCATAACTATCAGTGGGGGTTGCGATGGGTTGCACCTGGACTTTGGGGAATTAATGGCAACATAGCCAACACTGTCTGGAATAGGGACCTCGATGCCTCACTACTATGCAAATATGACTATAGGTCAATCATCTTACTCTATAAATAGTGCACAGCTCAGGGCCCGTTGAGCTCCCCTGCGTGGCAGGGGCCTGCACACCAGGATCTCCTTTGAGTAGGGACACCTCTCAAGGTTGTCACTCCTCAAGGTTGAGAGATTCCTTACTGCAACAGATCCTCAGTAAGTGGTTAATAGCATGCTACACTTTGAAATCTTAGCTAAGGATTGATTGCACATATATAATCCTTTAGACATAAACTGTTGACCAAGTCTGGGACTAAGATTGGATCCAGCTGCGCCTAGACTCCTCTCTGAGAAGTTTAGAAAGCAAGGGGGTCCTTTCTGAACCTCATGACTCAATGGGAAGGACTCCCTGACAGTTCTGTCTGACCCCGTCCTCTATGCAGTAAATAACCAAGTGTGCCTTGCCATCGAATCTCATTAAAACAATGTTGCGTTTACTATCAAACTTCGTTAAAAGGTTGTTTTATAACAATAAATATTTCACTGCTGCGCTCTTACAAGTGAGGAGAATCACTCCCTCCACAACAAGTGGCCACAGAGAAATGCGGATGCAATTAGTTACTTAAGTTCTCATTATTGTCCTTCCTAACCTAAACTCCAATCACATCCCAAAGGATAAAGAAAGCCAGTAGAAAACAGACTAGAATAGGCATTAGCATCTATGTAGTGAAATGTGCTGGTAAGATTCTTAGTGACATCAACAATGCAGGAATATGCCTTCATATCACAAACACTAAGATGGCTTAGGGATTTTTGAAGCTGAAAAAGACAGTATTGCATCAGGGATGAATCCACAGTTCCGTCCAGAGGAGAGAAAACTCAGGAAAAGGCCAGGAAATGAGAGCAGTAGGTCAGAGGGTAAGCTTATGATGCAGAGCCCAGAAAAGGAACAAGCTTAAGGACTCATTTGCATTGTTCAGCTTGACTTGGAGAACGGGTCCTTCTGAAAACTCCTTGCAGCTTGCAGTGTACTGCTACCATCAAACATTGAAATGAGAATAAATCTCTAAGGGGGAAAAAAATGGCGATTTACATAATTTGAAGATACAGAACACTTATATTTAAAACAGCAGGGCAAAAGCCTTTCTGAAGCAAACTTACATCAGTTCACCCAAAGAGCACAACGCAGAGGCAGGATACCAGCATCCATCAGAAAGCAGATTGTGGTCTTATCAGCCCAAAGCAGCAGCTCAACCCAAAAAGCACCACACCCCAACAGCAGCAAGTTATCAGCACGTGGCACAAACTGATAAACTTTACATCCCCGTGAACTTCGAGATAGGAGGCTTTTGTAAAAAGCCACCCAGCTCACACGAAGTTATTGGGGAGGGGGGAGTGAAGGAGACAGAAGCACCTTCCCGCATCATACCTGCTTTTGCATAGCCAATGATTCCTCCTGATGCCACCAGAGCGGCGTAGCCAAACCCGAGCCAGTCCACGGCCATGCTGAAAACTAAAAGAGAGATTGGTGTGAGCGCCGGTACCTCTTAATTTTTTAGGCAAAAAGAATAGTAACATTTTGCCGTGGGTGGGTAGGCGGTGGTTCCACGAGCAAGGCCTAAACCCACTCCAAGAGATGAAAACCGATTTATTGGGAACGCAGCCCGGG